TGGCGTGAGGTGATATCTGAGTGTGGTTTTGATTTGTATTTCCCTGATGAGGAGCGATGTTGAGCACCTTTTCATGTGCCTGTTGGCCATCCAGATGTCTTCTTTAGAGAAGTGTCTATTCATGTTTTCTGCCCATTTCTTCCCTGGGTTATTTGTTTTTCGGGTGTGAAGTTTGGTGAGCTCTTTATAGATTTTGGATACTAGCCCTTTGTCCGATATGTCATTTGCAAATATCTTTTCCCATTCCGTTGGTTGCCTTTTAGTTTTGTTGGTTGTTCTACCGGGTTTAATATACATCGTCTTCTTCCAGATTATAACAATAGTCTTTAAACTGTTTTTATTTTCTATCTTTGCCCTTCCTCCCCTACTCCAGCCAATTTTAAACCCAACAGCCATAGAAATTCCCTTAAAATGTAGATCAGATCATGACACTCCTCTGATCAAACTTTTCAGTGGCATTTATTACTGAAAGTAAAAGCCACAGTCCTTGCAATGACTTTCAGAGACATACGAGAACTTGACTCATGGCACCCTACCCCTCATGCTTCTGACTCCATCTCCTAACACTCTTGATTTGAATTATTCCTCTCTAGCCACACTCACGTCCTTGTTGATTCTCAAATATTCAGGGGTGCCCCTGCCTCTGGGCCCTTGTATTTGCTGTTCCTTCTACCCAGAAGGCTCTGCCACAGAGGTCTTCAGAACCTGCTCCCTCCTAAGTGCAGGTCTTTGTTAAAATAGCGTCCTCTCGGTGAGACCTTGGGACACCCTGGCTACATCTCATCTCTGTCCCACTCTCCACACATACTCCCGGTGGGTCTCCTTTCCCGACAGTAGTTTTCTCCTTACCACTATCTAAAATATTATGTATTTGTCTTGTTTATTGCCTAAAACATGTACCCATTAAAATGTAACCTCTGTGAAGCCAGGGATTTTTTTGCCTGTTTCCTTTACTACTCAGTGCTTAGAATAGTGCCTAGCACAGAGTGGGTCCTCAAAAAATATTTGTTGAGTAAATTAAAGAACTGTCCCTTCTAACTCTTCTTTCTATTTTCTTTTCCTTCCTGACCCTACCAACACTATTTCTATCCATTCTCAAAGGCTCCAAGAGGACTTCCTTCATGAAGACAACCATGATTATAGATACTAAAATTAACTTTGCTTTTTCAAACTTCCTACCACTTTCTCTATACCTATCTCAGGCACCCTGTACAACATACTATAGAAATGTGGGCATACTTAGAGGGAGGAGAATTTGGAACATCCAGTCCCCACGTCAGTCCATCTCCTACCTTCCTCCATTTAACTCCCTAAAAGGATGTGTCTTACTCACACATCAGCTCAGCCTCCTAACCCTTATCGGAGGTCAGCAATAGTTGCTTTTGTGGCTACTAGATAGGTGGTGGTTTGAGTCTCATTTTGTTTTTTCCTCTTATGAGCAGGAGAGGGAGATGTAAATTCTTGCTTTATGTCTTACTAGCTCTGTGACTTGAGCAAGTTACTTAAATTCTCTAAGATTCAGTTTAATCACCTGTTAAATGGCGACAAGTCATAAATACCTTGCACAGAGGCTGGCACAAGATAGATGCTTCATAAATAGTAACTGTACCAAAATGTAAATCATAAAGCCCTTTAGCCACCATGTTTTGTGGTCACCACTTTGGAAAACAAAAGCAAGCCAAAGGTCTGGCCTAATATGATGTGCAGTAGAGCTCTCAGGCAGTCATGTTTCAGGTTCCCTTCCTGATTTTTCTTTCTGCCTTGTCTACAATAGACAGCAACTGGCACAAAGGCAGCATTTGAGGCTTATTCATTTGTAAATCAAATGACAGTGCTTAGGGCATGGTTACTGAACTGTTTGTTGAACTGAATGGGGGCAAGAATGAAAATTTGCATTTGTTTGGCACTTTTCAAAATAATTTTTGCGTGTATCAGTGATGTGCATCAATACCTGTATTCACACTGCAGAGATAAAGAAACTGAGGTGTAGACAATTTAAGTAGATTTTCCAAGGTTACGTGGATATAAAAATCAAAAATAGACAAGAATTTCTAACACTAAGATCGGTGCCCTTTTTGCTATACTATATTGCTTTCTCTAGAAATACTCCCCGTACGATATTACTGTATCACCTCTAAAAAGTATTCTACTTAATAGATAAAGTGAGGGAAAACAAACTGGTAACAAGATTGAATCCTTCCTGGAAAGTGCTATGTTTCTGTTCCTTCCAATAATGTCCG